TCTGTCTCTCCTTTTTAAAATTCAAGTTCATAGACCCCATGTTAAGAACCTTAGTAGAAAGGATGTCAACCAGTTCACTAGAGTACCTGACTAGATACTTTACAGGTAGTTCTGAGAGATTAATGCTAGGATGCTCTATGCTGTACTAAAGACTATTCCTCCTCTGAGAGCAGGATCTGCCACTGGAAATAAATGGAGAATCGTGATATGAAGATCTACTTTCTTGCAGTACCCTGTCATCTCAATGTGAGTCATTCTCAATGGAGAAATAATTCAAAGCCATTCTACTTAAAGATGGTAGGGACAGGAGAAGATAAAGACATTGCTAGTTTTTCTCAGGCAACCTGGTTAGGCTGAAGGAATAGAAAAGGAACTCTGGGTGAGAGATCAACCTGATTTCATAGATCCTTAAACAGTAAGCAGGCTTACTGGAAAGACAGAAACTGGGGAAAGAGGGCCAGATTATGAATATTCATCAATGGAATAGATTAGATATGGAAGACCACAAGAAATTAAACATAGTAGCATGGTGTTTCATAAGCCCAAAAATTTCAACCCAATGGTAGTAAGAACTCACTATTCAACAAAATATTGGGAAAATTAGAAAGCAGTCTGGCAGAAATTAGATTTTGATCATGTCACATTTTAAGGGCCAAATAGATTTAAAAAGGTCAAATAATAAACAAATGGAGTAGGAGAGAACTTTTACATCTATGGATAAGGGAAGAGTTCTTGAACAAGGATAAAGAAGATCACAGGAGACTAAAATTGACAATTTTGATTACATAAATTTTAAAAGTTTCTGAATAAATAATGCAATGTAGTTAAAGTTAGAAGGTTAAAGCATTTACTAGAAAAAAATCTTTGCAGCCAATGTCTGATATTCAAGATATACTCATACAGAGAACTGATTCAAACATATAGGAACAATAACTATCCTCCGATAGAGAAATGCTCAAAGGGTATGAAGAAGCAATTCTCAAAGGAAGAAAAGCAAACTATCAACAGCCAGATGAAAAAAAAATGCCCTGAATCGTTAATAATAAGAAAAATAGATTTAGATATAAAGGCCAATAATATAAGCAAACTAGGAGAGCACAGAATAGTTTACCTGTCAGATCTATGGGGAAGGGAAGAATTTATGACCAAATGAGATAGAGAACATTATGAAATGTAAAATGGATGATTCTGAAAAGTTTTTGCACAAACAAAGCCAAAAGCAGAAAGCTAGGAAACAATTTTTACAGTCAGAGTCTCAGATAAAGGACTCATTTCTAAAATATATAGAGAACTGAGTCAAATTTATAAAAATACAAGTCATTCCCCAATCGATAAATGGTCAAAGGATATGAACAGGAAGTTTTCAGATGAAGAAATTAAAGAGATCTATAGTCATATAAAAAAATGCTCTAAATCACTATTGATTAGAGAAGTGCAAATCAAAAGAACTCTCAGGTACCACATCATACCTATCAGATTGTCTAAAATGACAAAACAGGAAAATGATAAATGTTGGGGAAGATATGGGAAAATGGGAACAGTGATGCATTGTTGGTGTTGTGAACTGATCCAACCATTCTGGAGAACAATTAAGAACTGTGCCCAAAGGGCTATAAAAATGTGCATACCCTTTGACTCAGCAATACCACTTCTAGGGCTGTATCCCAAAGAAATCATAAAAATGGGAAAAGGACCCACATGTACAAAAATATTTACAGCAATTCTTTTTGTGGTAGCCAAGAACTGGAAGTTGAGGGGATGTCCATCAGCTGGAGAATGGCTGAATAAGTTGTGGTATGTGAATGTAATGGAATACTACTCTGAAATGATGAGCAGATGGACTTCAGAAAAATCTGGAAAGACTTACATGAACTGATGCTGAGTGAAGTGAGCAGAACCAGGAGAACATCATATATAGTAACAGCAACATTGTGCAATGACTAACTTTGATAGACTTAGCTCCTTTCAGCAACACAAGGATCTAGGACAACTCCAAAAGACTCATGAAGGAAAATGCTATCCACACCCAGAAAAAGAACTATGGAATCTGAATGCAGATCAAAGCATACTATTTGCTCTCTCTTTTTTTGTTTTGTTTTGTTTCTTCTTTCTTGTGATTATTCCCATTGGTTCTAATTCTTCTTTATAACATGACTAATGTGAAAATAGGTTTAAAATGAATGTATAGGTAGAGCGTATATCAGATTGCATGTCGTCTTGGAGAGGTGGGAGAGGGAGAAAATTTAGAACTCAGAAAAAACTAAAAGTAAGTAAGTTAATAAAAAATACAAATTAAAACAACACAGGTTCTACTTTATACCTACTGGAATGGCAAAGATGATTTAAAAAAAAAGATAATGAGAATTACTGGAAGAATTGTTGGAAAATAGACACATTAATATAATCTTGGTAGAAGTGTGAATTGGTTGGGCAGCACAATTTGGAACAAGTAAAACAATTTGGAACTTTGTTCCCAAAATCATTGAACTACATATTCCCTTGGATCCAGTGATACCCTGACTATACCTATATGCCAAAGGGATCAAAAGAAAGGGAAAAGGGGCTATTTATATAAAAATATTTATGGTAGGTCTTTTTGGAAACTAAGAAGGCACCCATTAATTGGGGATGGCTGAACAAGTTGTGGAATATGAATATAATGAAATATTACTGTGCTACAAGAAATAATGAAAGGGGCAGTTGCAGAAGAACCAAAGAAGACATGTGAAGTGATGTAGAATGAAACAAGCAGAACCAGGAAAACAATTTAAATGATAACAAAAACATTTGAAAGACAGGACTCTGTTCAATGCAGCGAGCAACCATAATTCAGAGGATTCCTCATGAAATATGCCTGACAGAGAGGTAATGGACTTAACAGAGTTAGAGACATAATTTTCAGACATAGTTAATGTAGAATTTTATTTTGCTTAACTTCATATTTGTTACAAGGGTTTTGTCTTTTTTTCCCTAGTGGGGTGGAGTATTTGGGAGGAAGAGGCAGGGCCTAGATAGAGTTGTTTGCCCATACCCCAACCAAAGCAAAAAAAGAGGAAACAAGAGAAAAAGGGAAAGAAAAGAAAAAAGGTATTGAATATGTGTGTGTGTGTGTGTGTGTGTGTGTGTGTGTGTGTGTGTGTGTGTATGTAGGAAATGTGCAAAACAGAAGGGTCAGAAACACAAACAAGACAGTTGTGAAAGTTACATGTTGACTTTATTATACACTTAAAAGGAAAAGCAATCTGTAGGAAATAGGTTTGCTGGCTTATGTCCAACCCTTTTTAAATTCAATTTTGTATACAGAAATGCTAATTCATCTGATGTTTAAGTTCAGAAATTTTTTATATTACATATATTTATAAATTATTGCCATTTCATGAGAAATCTTTTACAACAAAATAAAGCAGTTAAATAAAACTAATGATATAGGGACATCATCTGAGAGCACATGCAACATTTCACATCTGTAGCACCAACCCACCTCTCTATATTTTTCAGATGAACAGAAATCTATTTTCCCTCTCTCCCACTCCATTAAATACAGAATTTTTAAAAAGACCCAAGAACTCTGATTAATGGAATGTCCAGCTATGATTCCAAAAGACCAATGATGAACTATGTTTATACTTCCTAACAGAGGTGATAGACTCAAGGTTCTGAATGAGTACTGGCAACATGAGAGATTCTTTTTTCTTAATTATACTTAACTGTTATATGTTTTTCTTCATTTTTACAATGGGGTGAGATTTGGGAGGGAGAGGACAACTGGGAATGGCACCGCCCTCCAAAAAAAAAAAAAGAAAGAAAAGCAGGTCATTGAAACATTTTTTTTTTAGATGCACAGAAAGGCACAGAAAGTTAAAAGGAAACAAACCAATGGGGAAGTTTTGAAAGTTACATTTGCATTAAAGCCACCAAATGTCAGTGTATTTGATTTAATTTGGATGGTTTTATCAAGTTCCTAATGGAATTTTTTTTGCCTCTTCATCCTCTACACTTATGTTGGCACATAAGCTCCAATTATCTTCTTTCTCCAAATACTAATTTTGAGTACTTCAATATGAAATGACTCATCCATGAAATAATTTTTTTATTGCCTTGGTTAAAATAAAACTAACCCTTCAACTCCTCTTTTTTGGATCTACAAGGAATGCATATGAGCCATCTTTGTAACTTTCTTATTTCCTTTGGTCTTTTTTGTAAAAAGAACATAAAGATTGACAAGATTCAGTTCCTTCAGCAGTATGTTCACCTCTTGGCCAGTGCACAAGGATCTCACATTTAGAGTATCAAATCAAGTTACAATGCATAGGTGGTCTAAAAATTGATATTTAGACTCTCTGCCTCCTTTCTATTACTCTGCCACAGCCTTTGCAGAATTGGAAAGAGGTTGCATAAGATTGAGGGTCATTTTCTGTTTTTGTTTCATGGTTTGCCACTGTCAAAAAATTCATTGCTAAGTGTCCTTTTTACTGGTTATATGACTCTCTGTACTTAGCTAAGGTGGTCCTCAGAAAGCAGGCTCAGTCTGTTGCTATGATCATACTCAAAACCTTTGCAGCATGGCAAAGATGCTGCCAGAATTTATGCTATGTGGGCACTACCTTTGTGAACCCATGGTCACCTGAAGCACCAAATGAGGTACTGGAGTAGGATTTGGTAGGGAGGTGAAGAATACGGTTGGAAGGCTCCTACATTGTCAAATATCACTGGGTAGAGTAGGTTTACTTGATTCTTTTCTTTTTTTTTTAATAAAAGGGAAGGCTAATAGTGGGGTAAGTATATCTAGAAATGATCTAGATATCAAACCAAAAGGCTTATAAACAAAACTTTTTAAAAGAATGTTTTTAAAAGCTCAGCTTGTAGTCAAAAGTTTTACCTCTCAAAATGAAGAGTTTGGAGAAAAAGAACAAATCAGACTGTAGTTACATATGTCTTTTTTATTCCTCTTATATTTAAACCATTCTTGTTGCATAGTTTACAAAAAGAAAAAAAAGTACCTTCCCATTCCATTGGAATATCTCCTTCTCTGTAGTCTACTTCTTTCTTATCTCTTGCTTCCACGAATCTTCTTTCTCGCATAGTTTGTCCTACAAAATATACAGGGAATATATTTAGAATAGGAAGTAGCAGCCCTGGGAAATACCTTCATATGACATAATGTTAATTACTGTCATCTAATATGTCACCATTAAGGATACTACAACAAGAAACAAAGTTACTGTCAAATGGACAGGTAGGTTTTTATCTAGAAGTAGGGATACAAATTGGATCAGTTTCAAATTTCAAAATGCTATGGAAAAAAAGACTTCCCTCTTCACATAGGCAAATAAAAAGAACTTACATGAAACTTTGGTAGAAACTTTTGTTTGAAAATCTAGGTACTGTACATAATAATAATAGTTCTGACATAATGCTTCCTTCAAAACTCGAATTTTTTCCATTGTAATTAATTTATCAGGGAATGTTATGGGCATAACATTAATTTGCAGTTTGCTTCTAAATGATTTCTTTATCTTGACTTCCCATCCATGTTCTTTACATAACAATGCCTATCACAAGGTAGCTAAGAGTGGGGTGTTGCAAATCTGTGACTAAAAGGGGGTGACAGTGTGGCAGTCCCAAACAGGACTTCGCAGCCTGTTCTCTTTTTGTATCGTTAGGTTCTCATTTCTGATCTACTAGAGATGCTCCATCCCTTGGGGGATTTCCAGGCTAATGATTGGTGGGGAGCCAATCAGGTAGTCAATAGATATTTGTTAAGTGCTTACTTTGTGCCAAGCACTATGCTCAGCACTGGAGATACTAAGAAAGGCAAAAGAGTCCTTGCTCTCAAGGGACTCACAATCTAATGGGGGTGACAAAAGGCAAAGAAATATGTATAAACAAGCTATTTATAGGATAAGTAGGAAATAATCAACAGAAGGAAGGGACTAGAATTAAGAGAAATCATGAAAGGTTCCCTGAAGAAGGTAGGCTTTTAGCTGAAACTTGAAGGAAGCCAAGAAACTCAGGAAACAGAGATAAAGGGGAAGATCCTTTCAAAAATAGAGGGACAGCCAGTAAAAATAATCAGAACCAAAAGAGGGAGTATCTTGTTTGTGGAACAGCAAAGAGGACAGTGTTACTGGATCAAAGAGGATGTGGTAGGCTATAAGGTACAAAAAGACTGGAAAGGTGTGTGTGTGTGTGTGTGTGTGTGTGTGTGTGTGTGTGTGTGTAGGTTATAAAGGGCTATGAAGATCCACCAAACAGAGGATTTTACATTTGATCTTGGAGGTGATAAGGAGCCAGGTATGTTATTGAGTATAAAGGTGACATAGTCAGACCTGCCCTTTAAGAAAATCACTTTGGTGGTTGAATGGAGAATGGACTGGAGTGAGGAAAGACTTGAAGCAAACCAACTCACCAGCAGCTATTGCAATATTCTAAGCATGAGGTCATGAGGGCCTCTATCAGTGATGGCACTGTCACAGGACAAAAGGAGGCCTATTTGACATACGATACAAGGGTGAAACTGACAGGTCTTAGGAATAGATTGGATATGGGGCAGAGGAGAAATAGTTAAGAGTCAAGGATAACAGCAAGATTACAATATCTGAGAGAGCGAGGGGAGTTTAACCACTTTATTTTACAGAGAGGGTTGGGGAAGCTCTCAAAAAGGAAATTCTGAAGAGACAAAGATGATTTTGATAAAGAAGGAAAGGGAGAGTTGTCAAAAAAAAAAACCTATGTGGATACACATGAAAGTCATTGGCCAATTTAGATTTCAGAAGATAGAAGCAAGGGTAAACAAGAGACAATAATTATAATAATTAGTATTTATACAATGCCTAAAATATGCCAGGCATAGTGCCAAGAGTTTTACTAATATTATCTCATTTGATCCTCACAACAATGCTTGAAGGTAGGTGTTATTATTATCTATTTTTTATAGTTGAGGAAACTGAGGCAAACATCATTGAAGTGACTTGCCCAGTGTCACACAGCTAGTAAGTGTCTAAGGCAGATTTGAACTCAGGTCTTCCTAAATCCAGACCCTGTGCTCTATCCACTATGCCATCTAGCTGACTATAAAATAAATACAAAAGATCGGAAAAATTCTACAAAAAAGTATCAGGAGAACTAAGGTTGATACCCGACCACCATCACAAAAAAGGGGATTAAGCTATATTGGAGAAAAAGAAGAGCATCCAGGATGGGTTTGGTCAGCTATTAATAGTAGATGCGATAATGATAACCAGTGAGAGATGACGTACAACTGCTTTTTCTTCTTCCTGGTTCTTACTTCAATATGGATCAGTTGTATAATTCTTTTCATAGTTCTTTCCATTCTTCATATTCATAGTTTCTTCTGGAGCATTTATATTCCATTATATGCCACAACTTTTCTGGGCATTCCCCAATCAATGGGCCTTCTTCTTCATCTTCTTCATCATTGTCTTCTTCTTCCTTCTTCTTCTTCTTAAACACATTTATTTCTCTTTTAAATAGGGACTGCCTTGTTATTGTTCCATGGTCTTTGGGAAGTGGGAATTCTCTTTTTGATCAGGGAATTTTGGTTTATTTTACCTCATATTATAATACTTATTCATTGTGGTTTTGCCTCTTTTTTGTGTGTTTTTTTCTTTCTGTTTTTATGATATCACTTGTTGCTCTGCTTTATTTTGATTCCACCATCATTATCATCATGGTCCCATCCTTCCTTTTCAGTAGTTTTTATGGACTGTTTCCCTTTAATAGACTGTAAGGTCCTTGAGAGCAGAGACTAGCTTTTTACTTGTATTTGCTTCCTTAGCACTTAGCACAGTGCCCAGCATACAGTATGCACTTTATCAATGTGTATTGTGTTGTGTTCTATTAGTCTTTCTGTTCATTTATCTGCTTCTGAACTAGTTGTATTTTCCCTTGGACTTTTGGTCTTTATGATTTTCTACTTATCTGTTTTCCCTTCTTACTTCCCATCTCCTTCCACTGATACACAGTGCCCTGGGTGTCCTCTGCCTCTTTCTACTGAGGGCGTTAAGGGTGTGGCTTGGGGACCATTTTCCAAGTAATCTCTTGGGGGAAAGGACAGGGTCTGAACTCATTTTCCAGTCCTCTTTTTCATTGGCATAGAAGCTACTTCAGTTCTAGTAGGTATGGTAGAGAAAAATTACTCTTTTACCTCAAATAGGAAAAGAGGTGCTCCAGGTTGAGTCACTGCAGTAAGAGAACTGGGTAGTGACCTCACCCACAAATTTGAAGCACAAATCTGCATGATATACAATGGCTACGATAATGTAAAAGAAGACAGAAATAAAAGAGATCAGAATTCAGATGGATGCCCTTGATCAATCCTGACTCCAGAGTACTGCTAGGGAAACATACAACTCTCTTCTAGGTGGAAAGGTAGTGAAGAACAAGATATATGTTATCAGACATGATCATTGTAAGCTTGTTTCATTGAATTTCTTCTCTGTTACAAGGGAAGGTACAATGGAGAGGGGGTGGATTGGTAAGTGAGAGTAATATAAACAATACAAAAAGCACCAACACAGCATTTAAAAAGGCGGCTAGATGGTACAGTGGAGACAATGCTGGGTCTGGAGTCAGAAAGACTGATCTTCCTGAGTTCAAATCCAGCCTCAAACACTTACTAGCTTTTTGACCCTTGACAATTAACCTTGTTTGCCTTGGTTTCCTCATCTGTAAAATGAGCTGGAAAAGGAAATTGCAAACCATTCTATTACTTTTGCCAAGAAAACCCCAAAAGGGGTCCTGAAGAGTCAGACACAACTAAAACAATTAAACAACAACAGCATTTTTCAAAAAAGAACAAATGGGAAGCCACTTCAAAACGTGGTTTCCAGGAATACAATTTATCTAAAAGTAGGAATAGTCTGCAATAAGATGGAGTATTTACAATATGAATAATCGAATAATTAACTATATATAAACTCCTTCCAACAAGTTTTATGGCAAAGCTACTTTATAAAGCATTTTTTTTTCCATATTGTTAGATTCTGAAACTTCTTTTTCATGAAGGGCAAGACAGAGAAGACATGCAAAACGCACCACAAAACTATGCATCCTTTAGTTCCTACTTTATTTTGCCCTTCATTTAAAGAGACACACCATAGTATAGCAGAAAATGTGATAGACCTGGAATCAGGAGAGAATCTAATTTGAGTGCCAGCTCTAATATCAGCTACATCATCCTGGATATGTCAGAAACTCCCTGAGTTTCAGTTTTCTCAGAGAGACACCATTACTTGCATTACCTCCTCCACAAGGTGGCTGTGAGGAAAGTACCTGGTAGATGTTAAAGTGACACACATACACATTCAAGATGGCACAATGGACCAACATAAATAAACAAACAGATAGATGAAGGAATGAATACATGAATGAACGAATGTTGAAAACCTGACTAGCATCAGGAAAGACCTGAGTTCAAATTTGTTCTTAGACACTTACTAGCTGTATAACCCTGGACAAGTCACTTAAACCTAGCTCCATCTCAGTTATCTAATTGGCAAAGTGCGGTTAATAATAACATTGAGTTCCCGGGGTGGTTGTGAGGATCAAAAAAAGATAATATTTGTAAAGCACTATGTAAATATTAAAGTGTTATGTAAATGCTAGCTCTTATCATCATCATCATCATCATCATCATCATCACCACCACCACCACCACCACCACCACCACCACCACCACCATCATCATCATCACCACCATCACCATCACTATTACTGGAATAACCCAAACCTGGATTCATCATATCCCTGCCTTTCTAGGTCTATGTCTCCCTGAAGTACTGAGAATAAAACGAACACAAATTAGGCTGTAATTTGGCTCTGTGTTGGAAAAAGGAACCTCCTACATTAAAGCTAACACTTTGCCCATATCTATTATGAGCAATTTTCTCTCCCCCGTTGTGATTAAATTGGGTGTTCCAAACCATAAAATTCTGTGATTTTATACAATTACCATGTTTTTGTTGGCATGCAAGCACTAACTTTGCATTTGGTACTTTTGTTTTTTACAAGCCATTTATGTGAGCTTACCAATACACTTGCATAACTCCAGTCTGCTGAGACATTTACC